ACCATCTTCCTTGTCGAACCAATGCGGCTTGACCGGTCCGATTTTCCGACATTTGAGAGGCAAAAGCTGGTTACACAATGAGTTCACTGCGTCCTTTATAACTGACCAGCAAGCTCCAACGGATGAAGTAGAGACCAACCCACTTGGCTCGCGGCTGAAGTTACGCCGTCGAAATCCGTCTTCTGGGGGCGGTAATACGGCTGCAGTGCGTGGGATTGCTGCAGTTGCAGCTCCATGATGGCAGTTTCAACCGGGTAGTCGTCTGCTGCCAGAGGCTCCAGGATCCGAATGTCACACAGGTTGTACACATCTGATTAACAGCAAGTCTAAGCACGATGAAGTTAAGCGTGGCGTTATGCCTGACGGTTGGCAGATGGGTTGTGTTGTCCCAATTTCAAGTACCATACAAGCGAACCTTGCTTCGGCCTCACAATATCCGGTGATAAGTTCAACGACCAGTGTATTCGAGGACAAGTGAAATTGCCCATGAGTGGAAAATAACGGCGACTCACGTAGCAGATGCAACAGCCAATCCTAACAACGTCTCGGGTGACTAGGATAAAAATCACCCACGAGTAGCTCCCCGCGTCTGAAGTGGATGGAGCATCACATTTGCTCATATGGACCATTTTCGCTTCGGTGGGCGATCTTAAATCTCCCACACAGAGAAGACCGGATGTACAGCAATACGTTACCGCAGGCATTCGATAGCCTATCAGAGCGGAAGCACGAGTAACCACTAAGCTCAGCCACCTGGGTGAATACCTCATCGTTAAAATGCGCCTCTGAGAATCCTATTGCAACTGGTCGCTCGAAAGCAACGAAGCGACACAGCTCATCGCGTATGTTCATAAGACTGCAAGTGTTGGTAAAGGCTACAAGCAGGCCTAAAGAGTGAGTGACCGACTTATTCGAATTCTCGTTCATTTTTAATCACCCGAAAATTAACAATGCGTAGGTTTGTTTCACTCTCACCAATTCGTCAGTTTAGCTCGATGATGACACACATGAGGCGCTCCCGATCAGCTGGATTGATATCCGGAGGAATATGAAACCTTTCGCCTCTCAGTCTACTAAATATTAACTTCGCCGTGGCCTCGTTGACAAAACTTACCCGAATAGGTCTGTCCTTCTCAGCAGCGTCTTTGCCGAGGCGGATACCTATCTTCATCTTCACTCCGTCCTCACCCACATTGAGGAGCTTATCAAATAGGATTTGTATAAACTCTACGCCACGACCACAGAGTATCTGAGGACTGGGATCGTTGGACTCAGGTGCGTGAAAAAGCGCCAAATTTGATCGCCTTTTAACCTTCCAGACGGTAAATGGGGAAGCAGAGTGGCCTCGAGCATTGCTTGACTTGGTCTGTTGTTGGCCAGCGGGAAGCTTCTCTTCGTTTCACGGCTTCCTCCGTCGTCGAGTTTCCCATGGTTCCTCACGCATTGGAGAATCATCGGCGTCATTAGAGCTAGCAGAGTGAAAAGTCAGTGAATCATTAGCCACAGTTGGTGTCGTGTCTCAGGAAAAATTAGGATGACGAGGTAATAAGTCAGTTGAATGGAGGAGTTGAATGGGAGGAAGGCCGGTTGGAATTTTGGATGGACTCTAGGCCAGTCTGGGGGAGATTAAGTGTAGAAGTGCACACGGTTAAACGCTATTAGTCGCGGCCTGCATCAATTGAGGTTAAACATTTCTCTGGTTGCTTTAGACTGCGACAATCGTTGCGCAAAATTTAGATGAAATGATGTTGAATAGAACACAAAGGACGGTTGAAATCGGCAGGTAATCCAATGCAAGAAATATGAAATCTAGCAGAACAATAAAAGCACGTAAGGGTATTTGCCGTGTGTCGAGCAATTTCGAACATAAGGGGCAAAATGGAGTCGCTGTTAAGAAACAGAGTAAACGTGACGCAAAATGGCAAAGTATGCCAAATGGAACTCCGCAACCTGTTGAAGGATACCACAGAAAACTTGGTCTAGAAATGGCAGATTCAGAAAAGAAACCGAATGATGACGAGATTCCCACAAGAAAGTTTCAGTAAGTCCACAATAGAGCATCCTGACAACGCAGCCACGGGAAAAGCAACAGCAGATTTTGGAAGCTATAGAATGTCGCTTAAATCATCGACGACCTGCGGAGGAAATGCTGCAGCGACGTGATGCAATTTTACATTCTCAGATCTAACACTACTAGAAAAAATGTGGACTCGGGTTGAAGAAGCCAACTTTTCGGATTGTCTTCACGAAAAAGCGAAATTGGAATCGTAACAACGCTGGCAGATCTAAAAGCGGGCCAGCTTATGACGTCATGAGTTACCAACCAACCAATCACACTTCCGTTAGCTCAACATGGATGAAGGGGAGAATTAAAAAATGAAATGCATGATTTCATCGTCACAAATCCCAGCATGGTTTTCTTCAGGTTGCATCAAGTGCGACATGCCAATTAAATTTCCTCAACCACACAACAACGGCTATCGTTGTAGGTAATTTGTTTATACTTATGTATCGTGACATGCGTAAGGTTTTCAACCGAGTACCACATTCAAAGTTGCTAGACAAAAAACAGTTTACCGGTATCAGGAAATCGCCACATTCTTTGCTGCGTTTCTAACTCTCAAACAGAAGGCAAGTGGTGGAAATAGACAATCGTCTTTTACATCCCTGTACCATAATTAGTGGTCTCGGTCCATCAATTTCTCTCATATACGTAAATTACAAACGCGATCGAGTTAAATGTGGGAGCGCATTCCTGTTTGCACATGACATCGAAATTATTTAACCACATAGAAGCACACGAAGTTATACGGTACCTTCAAGACGACCTGTTGTCTGTAGAAACATGGTAGCACATTCGGTATCTGTGGTGTGCCGTCAAGAACAGTAATGTCCTAACATACAAGTATGATCCCATTGAATAGCCTAGTTTTGCGTGGTGGGTATGGCTCGAATAGAGGGACCATTCGAGACTCCGGCGTCAGCTTTTTCGAACAATCCGACTTACAGAGATCGGAGGCAAAAAAGACGGTTGAATCAACAATCTGAGTTTTCACGATAAAAAGTTAAAGCTTAGAGTATACAATGCATATGTCTTAAGTACCATCAGGTACTGTTCGACCGTGTGCAAGACTGATAAATTGACTATTGAGCAACTTCAGCGGCGCCTTAGTAAAATACTAACCGGATATTACGCAACAACTAATTAAAGTGAGCGCAGAGATAGCTTCAAACGTGTACCTATCTGCCCCCGTAGCGTGAGGCTCAACTGATTCTTCATGACTCATACACCATTATGCGTATAATGAGGTGTGAGCATTTTAGAAAATATGCGATACTCACTGCATGATAACAGTTTCAAAGTCATCTTTGCAAAGAAGGATGAGAGAGCACTTTTTTCTAACAAAATACTCAAAGCTCTGGGGAATAAACTACCAAAGAACATCATGGAAATCTGTAACGTACTAGGTTCAGTGGGATGATAAGATTCTAGAGTCGTGAGGAAAGTAGTAAAAATGGCCAAAATAACATAAAGTTGGGAACATGTGCGCCACAACGGTCTCGGAAGCCGATGACAAGCAGAACTAGATCTAGTCTCATGTGGGCCATGTTTAACCGGAGGTTTTCATTTCCGCAATGAAGTTGAAAAGAAAAATCCAACCGATTTTTATCGCCAGCCACCGCTGCACTATTACTTGCCTACCCGTACGCAACTGTGATTAACTACAAGAAATGATGTCAAACTGAAATGCAGAGGATAGTGAATTGTGCACTCCTAATGTCAACATCCTAGTCGTAGTATGCCTTTACTCGGTGTCTAGTGTTACTCATTTGCCCAGGGGATGTAATGACACAAGATGCACTTGTTGGTGGACTTTGCGTCCTTACTGGGAGACGAATGCGGAGCAATGCTTAAGTACACAAAAGAACCTTCAGAACAGCTAATCTAGTTAATGCGTTTAGGTCTCTACTAACGTTTCCTGCCGACGTACTGGTCTAATCATAATATACTACTTTTTCTTTCCATTTAGATTCAGCCACCTTCTCCATGACATATACCTTAGAGTATATATTTGGTAAAGGAATACGAGTACTTGGAACTTCCAAAGGAATACATCCCGACCCTCCCCACCCCATAAGTGGTGACGTCTGCGTTTGATCCACTTATTTCAGAGCGAGAGCATGAATCATTCGGAGTGTTCTGGATCAGCTAGGATTAGGTTTTTGCAGTCAAATATCCGTTTAACCATTTCTAGTAACCACGGCACAGAAAGCAATAGTGGCTTTATGAGGTAAAGTCAATACGAGTTCATTACATGTTAGTGAAGAGGCCGTTTCCAAATCTGTAGATTAAGGAAGAAACTGTTACTACCTCTACTGACATGCGTCCGAGAGAGTTCAGTGGTAGCATCTCGGAGAAATGAAGTAAATAGTTGCTGAATAGCACCGTTATCCTATGGAGCGTAAGGATAGTCGCTTTCGTTGAGGGACATTACTAGAAAACAGACAACATTCACGCGCCTTGTGCCTGTAGACAACCTCGCGCACATGGACTAGGAATGCTGACTAACAGGCTTGCCCATCGGACCTGTCGAAACGGTAGGATATCCAAGCAGTTCACAATCAGCCCCACTCAGTTACAATCGTTTATGCTAGTGTTTGGCACCGAACCCGATTAGCTTAAACTGAGAATGTTACAGATTGGACCATGGGATAATAAACTATACGGATAAGTTAAGATCAAGAAGGCCGTTGGTCTAAACAGCGTACTTCCGCTGAGAACTCTGGAATCGCGAGAGTAGTAAAATGCTTCCATGCTACCGGAAGCAGGTGAAGGCCCACGCTAGCCCGTCGACAACCAGAAGTAATGCAGGACAACTGCAGATGAAACACGAATTAGCCTCTGTCAAGTATTAGAGAGAACCACTTTATAGATTCAATGCGAAACTGCTGGGTAGGATTCTGCGCTTTTATGTGCACTATAGCACTGAAATACTCACTGTTTCGGTTTTCGGTAAATCTGATGAGCGGCTAAAACGTATGGCGTCTGTTATATCCCGCCTGGATTCAGATGGATCGCTGTATGTTTCATTCACAGATCTTCTAATCTATAGGTGCAAGGGAAAAATGAAGATAATCGAGAACAAAACAAGACAGGGATGCGCGTCTAACTGCTAATTCCTAGTCTGTGCTGCATCATAACTTGTCACGTACATTTCGTCCATTGTGTTCACTTTACTAAATCAAGTTGGACAGCTATTGTTGATCGCTATCGCTAAAAGCACAAAACACATATACAAACGCCACAGTTATATTCTGTAGAACCAGATAATCAGCGCCACGTATAGAGAAGAGAACAGTTTATGGTAGAAATCATAACCCATATATTTATACCTGGCATCCGCACTCGTTCATTGGTACCGTGGTTCAAAACATCACTAACCAACACACAACGGACTATCTGTGTCCGCGTTTGCCTAGTATCGGGACGCTTGGCGGATCGTATTCAATGCTCAAAGGGTTTTTTGGAGGATTGCCATAGGCGTGCACACATAGATAAAAAAAATTGAAAAAATACGAAGCCTGAGGTCTTCTGCACTTAGGATGTACGCAGATTAGAATGCTCAACTCCAAGTAGAAGGGGGATTTAAACAGTATACGTAAAGATACATCACAAAGAGAGAGTTAGACAGTCCTCGCAAATCCGAAGAAGCACTGTACCGTGGTTTCATCCTTTTTCAGATCATCAGTAGTGTTTCTGTGGGGGCTCGAACCCGCAGCTTGACTGTTACCAGTCCGCGGCCAAGACTACTGGGCAACGGTGGTCGGTAACAACGGAAATGACTGCGTTACTAGATGTGATTTAAAGCCGCTCACTATACACTAACTTCCATGTTACTGTCGCGCAGAGGACAGCGTAGCCGAATGATGGATCGACGAAGTTACTAAAATTAGGCTGCTAATTAATTTATGACCTATAAGGTCATCTGCGTACTGATTACAAGGGGGATAACAAAGGGGTTGAATGGTGTAAGTTTTACTCTTCAGGGTCGATGTGTCTAAAAATGACCACAATACAGACCAGAGAATGGAGAAACGCTTCGGTGATTATTTTATCAATTTCTTTGCTATTCGCGAAATACATGTGAATTGCGTTTTAGACAATGCTCAGTTGGGAATTTCTACTCATCGTCCACATAGTAGGCGATGCCGCACCCACAATCAGCAGCACACTGGAGAGCGAAAGGCAGTTCGGACCGTAGTTGCACAGCATGAGAGGCGAGCAAAAGGAATTTCGCACGCGGAAGAGAACAATCTCTGAAGTTTCCATTACTTAACAAGGACTTGGTTGCCGATACAGAGCACGCCTACATGGCCTGGTTCACAACTATGTATAATCAGATAGCGCGCGGTTAGGCATTGAACAAATGCCTAACCGACCACCAACATCAAGTTTACTTTACTACCTTGGCCGCTGTGTTTCCTGTATGAAAGTGGTAGGGGATTATCCAAGTAAAATTGTTATGTTGAATTCCCAACCGTCGTACGAGATGTTATTCACTGATCGTAGCAGCTTAAAGATCAAGGCCTCCGTTGTGAAATACTATGTCGCCACTTCCGCTCCTAACTCCGTCTACTTGTTAGTAAGGTTTATTTCTTGGAGTGATGGCGTTTGCGTTGTGAGTTTCTTTGACCCACATCATCGTGCTTAACTTCCACTCCAACAACGACCGCTCTCTTGAAACATAACATCTCACTAAGCAGCGTGCTATTTATTTGTGTTTAATAGTTCAGTAAGGTATGATGTAATGAAAGGAATAACTTTAAAAGAGCCACAAGATAAAAAATACACAAGAAAATTAAAATTAAAATGTTCCAACGTGAAACGGGAATCATCAGTAGTAAAGACATCGCACTTTAACACACCGTTGTGTAGTGTTTAGCATTGAGAGTATAGAAGTCTCTTGAATGTCGCGATGTCTACTCCGTTCACCACATATGTTGATAGTACATTCCAGTGGTAACAGATTCTAAGAGAGTGAAAATAGTTCCTATAATCCAAACGGAAGCGCTGCGTTACTAGTTTCGGGTGATGGCCTCGATATTGTAAGCGGCTAAAGTTAAATGGTGTTTTGGAGAAAATTCCAAGACACTCGGGGCTTCCAACGTTGGCTGCAGTACAAAGGATGTCGAAACATGGTTATTAAGTTACAGCGGCAGGCGAAGTACTCATATGAGGTTAGGTTGGTCAAGTCTGCGAAAACAAATGACAACTGTTATTACATTTATGTCCAATCAAAGGCTTCTTTATGAGAGGCGGTGCGCTGTCTAACTATGGAGGATGGCAGCCAGGCTGTGGACAAGGTCGATAAAGTAGCGTTGCTACGTGCTTTCCAAAACCTGCATCGGAAGGATGGTGGGTCAGCTTTGCCTTCACAACCGCACTGCTAAGTAGCTATACAAGGAAGAAAATTATTATTACTGTGCCAGAAGCATTCACAGTGTTGGTTCGCTTGAACCCTTATAAATCAGCTAGTCCAGACAATGTACATCCCGCAATAGTTAAGCCACTGGCTGGAATCTTTAAGTATACTGTCGCAGAACTATTCAACCACTCTGTTAAGGAAGACAAGTTACCCCGTGATCGGAAGGAGGCGACCATTGTTGCTATCCACAAGGGTTCTAAGTCGGCGCCCGTTAATTACAGACCTGTTAGTTTGACCAGCACCATGCTTAAGTGCTCAGAAAAGCTTATAAGAAACAGGATCTGTGAGCACTTGACTGACCATAAGCTAATTAGAGCAGAACAGCAGAACTTACTTAAAAAGGAGTCGTGTCTTACTAATTCATTGCGCTTTTTAGATGAGATTACCCGATGTCTTGGGAGTGAGATGTCGGTAGAGATATGCTATTTCAACTTAAGTAAAGCATTTTACTCAGCGAGCCAACGATTTTTAATTGAGAACCTGACATGGTTTAGATTGCATCCTTAAGCATTACTGTGGCTCTCTGAATTCTTACGTGGAAGGACATTCAGAGACAGGGTTAGGGAAGCGAGTTCTAGTGTGGGCCATGCCTACAGCGGTGTCCTCCAAAGTTCGGTACCGGGTCCATTATTGTTTCTTATGTTTATAAACGACCTGGCTCCTCTTCTCGAGGGTGCTTGCTATATCTTAGCAGATGGCTTAACGCTAGTCAGTCGCTGAAATTGAGTAACATTGTCTAAGGATATCATCACGGTGGTGAATTGGTCGAACCAATGGGATTTACCTCTGAATCTCAACTACTGATCAATAGTGGTAGCGGAATTACAGTGCAGTCTCCTTCGGGATCTCTATCAGCGCAGCGTACCGATAAAGCCCGCGATTTAGGTGTCATCATAGTGAACAGTTTAAAGCTTTCGGCCCAGTGTCGCCATGATGCCAATAAAGCGCGACAAGAGTTGTTTCGCCTTAGGAGGACGCTGAGTAACACTTAAGCAGAAGTATTCATGCCGTTATATGAAGCAGTGGTTAGGTCACATCTGGAGTATTGTGTTCAAGCCTGGAAACCGTACCTTCTTAGTGACGCCATGTGTATGGAAAAGATTCAGAAAGTTGCGACCGGGATGATCGAAAGTCAACGAGGTAAGTCGTACGAAGATCGTTCAAGCAGCTCAAGAATACTTCCTTTGAAAGGGCGCAGACTGCAAGAGAATTTGGTGGAAATGTTTATAATCATAAAGGAACTCAGTGGTATCAATCGCACCCATCCGTTTAAGTTAGCAACGTCGGACCACCTACGCGAGCATCGCCTGAAGCTCAACCAACACAGGGCTCGTTGGGACATCAAGGCGAAACTTTTTACAAACCGGGAAGGGAGCATCTGGAATAAATCTTCTTCTGATGTAGTAGAATGTGATAATATGGAAAACTTAAAAAGAGGCATAGATGAGTGTTAGTCTCACTTCCCAGGGATGTTGTGAATATACTGGAATATGCAGTGTATTCAGATGATGATACATGAAAGTGCTAGGAATGCGATTGTTCACGATTCATTCTCTTCCAAAAGGAAGAAAAGTCAATGCAACGTTGAAGTGCCGGGGTTGTTGCTCACCTACCGGTAGAAGTGTTGGTTTTCCGAAAATGGAAGGCAGGGGTGGGTTTGAGACGCACAGGCAGGACCAGTGAGTGTAAGATAGCGGCGCAGACCAAAACAACCTACGACGATCGGCTGTAAGAAGTGAGTGCCGCTCGAAACAAAAAAGCCGATATCGGTGTGTCATCCTTCGATCGCCGGGCAGCTCAATGGAACCCATGCCATTCGGATGTGAGATTGTTGGCTAAACACCAAAGCCGCAATCGACGTGTCATGCTACGATCGCAGGACAGGCCAACGGAACAGGCCGTTCGGCTGTGAGAATTGAGTGTTGGCCAAACAGCAAAGCCGCAATCGATCGATTGGCAGACGGCTTTCATGTAAATTAAAGCGCCAAGAAAAGGGATCTCTGCGAAATGGTTAGTGGCTCGTTGTGCTAGCAGTTGGACTTATGCGATGACCGTTCGATGGGCGCCGGTTGCTATCGCAATATATGACGAAAGCCAATTGCGACAAAAGCTGTTATAGCCTCATGACAGGCTTCCAAGAAATCAGGAAGCTTGTATTAGGTTCCTTTCGCTACAAAGGAGTACCATACTGCCAGGAGCACTTTCTAAGGTTACAGTCTTGTTCGCGTTAGAAAATGCTCTTAGATTTCATTCTGCCCCGACGCACTAGTGGCACCATTATACAGCACATCCACTTAGTCATGAATGCAACTATTGCCCTCACAATCAGATAATTGCTTGTTGTACGATCTGAGCATGCCTTCGATGGTGTTTCTCGTGTGCAATCGAGAATATACATTTGTTTATTTCTTTACTTATGTTTACATGAAATGTTTGAAATGTCTGTGAATATCAATGGACTAGGTGTTCAAAGTGCCCTCTCACGTTTTGCTTGCAGAACAGCATTCGCCTGGTGGTGTTGGCAAGCACTTGCTGCAATGTCTCCACCGAGATCCGGCTACATTCGTTCGCAATGTTGTCTTTCAGTTCATCCAGGCCGTTGGCTTTTGTTCTATAAGCGC